TACTTATGACTCCAGCTCCGGGGTACCCAATGCCCTCTTCAGGCCTCTATGGACACCCACACAGATGTGCACACATACACACATCAGGGTTAGGTGGGGCACATACAGATAAATAAAAATAAACCTTAAATACTGTACTGAAGCAAAACACCTTACGTAGTTACTTTTGGTGTCACAAGAGCAACTAAAGTCTACATATTTAACAAACCTCCCCCCAAAGCACCATCTTCTTTTTTTTTGATGTTTTGAGACAGGGTTTCTCTGTGGCTTTGGAGGCTGTCCTGGAACTAGCTCTTGTAGACCAGGCCGGCCTCGAACTCACAGAGATCCGCCTGCCTCTGCCTCCAGAGTGCTGGGATTAGAGACGTGCGCCACCACCGCCCGGCAAGCACACTCTTCTTAATGATGGTCCTAGCAGGACTTTGAATCTCATGGACTTTGCATCCCACATATCTGCAGCTCTTTGACCTACATCCCTCCATTTCCCTCTCCCATGCCCTGTAGTCATGGTTCGATTCTCCATCTCTGCATATTTAACCTTTGCTTTTGTTTCTAGATTTTGCTTACCTGGGTAGAAAAGGATCATGAAATCCTATTGCAAGCTGAGGATGTTTTGGCACCTGATCACTGAGTGGGAGGGATCAACTGTTTTCTTCTGGGGATGTGGGTCCTGAGTGGCTAGACATACTTCACACAAACTTCTCTTTAAAAAAAAAATAAAAGCAAGACTATGCAAAAAATTTTCTGTGATTTAGTTTATCTCACAGAGTTCTTTTTTATTACTCATTTTAAGGACTTATTAAACAAGAATTTTATTTCATAGGACCATAGCATTTGTGGAATGTTTTGATGATATGTGTGAAAGTTACAAGCATATCTCACCAAATATAAGCTACAGCAAAATATTATTGCTCCATTTCTAGAATAAGAGCAGAGCACTATGTTAGGCCTTCTTTGTCGTCTCTAGAGGCATTCAACATACGTGTGGAAGAATGTGGAATTTCCACTGTTGCATTTGACAGTCACTGAATCAAAGTTAAAGCTGAGGCGGGGCTCACCTCTGTCATCCCAGTGCTCAAGAGAGACTTGCCTATCAGTGTCACCTATGTCCCATGACATTCCCTACATCCCAACATCCCAATCCACTTGTTCTCCCACCATACAGCTCTGAATCTGACAGGGGAAGGTACACCTAGGAGAGTTAGAATGCAGTTGGCCCACAGTCGGTAACTAAATATGAAAATTGGACTGAATCTAAATTTCCCAAGGAAATTGACCTGATGCTGGGGTGGACAGTATTGGAATCATTTGGCTGATGATGCTAATCACTCACCATTTTGTTTAGAAAAGGAAGCCCAGTAATCAAATAGGTTTAGTAAAATCTCCTGTGTTTACAGAGATCTAGTCAAAATGACTCTACATTTTACTATTTCAGCATCCACGTGGAAGTCATGCTTTGCCTTTCTAATTGAGTATTTGCTTACATGTGTGTGACACAGATCCCTGAATGATCAAAATAGTCTATCATACTTCTAATATTTGTAGATACTGGAATTCTGATTGTTTTTTATCAAAAACTCCCAACTTTTCAAAAAAAAAGCATGTATATACTGTTATGCATCTGCTACCTATGGTAGTTGAATTAGAGGGCCTGGAAATCATATCACCTATTACATGGATGAGAATGGGGAAAGACCACTTAAATGCATTTTACCTTAGGAACTCGGTTTAACTAAGCTAATTCCCTCACTCCTCCCACTAAAATACTGATAATGTAGGATATCTGCCACTCACTTTACACGGTCAGTGACAGAAACAATCTAACATATTAGAATGGCAGAACTGAGTAGATATTTCAAGCATCTCTGTTTGAGCTCTGACATTACCACCTACTCTGTGATATCTGGTGCCTGAGAACACACACACACACACACACACACACACACACACACACACACCCTGAGCTGGAGGTTCAGTGTGTGCAATTCTCCATCCCAACCTTCACTCCCCACAGCCCTTCCTTCCTGTGGGTTTACCAAGCACAGTCCCTAACAAGGGTAACAACTCCAAGGACAGGATTTGCTGCTGCACAAAGGAGGGCTGGCATTAAAGTGAGGTGCTCTGCCTAGAGGGAGTCCTCAGGCAGACCTTGGATTAAGTTGAGTCTCCGAGGAAGTGAATCTGTAGACTACTGTCCTACATGAATTTCTGGAGGATTTCATCAGAATCCAGGAATCTGGAAAAAGGACAGAGCAGCCAGAAGGTGTTGGGAGAAGCAAGTCCTTCCTTGCCCTCCAACCAACTTCACCTTTTTCATTTCATGGGTGCGAGTGTCTTGCCTGCAGGCACTAGGAATTGAACCCGGGTTCTCTGTAAAAGTGGCCAGTTCATTGTCACTGCCTCAACTATCCAGACATTTATATCCATTGTTTTATTATCATAACTTCTATCATTGTCAGTAGTAATTTCTGTTATTATAAAAGGCAAACACACAGTGAATGCTTACACTGGACTAAGTCCACCTACTTAGGTATCATAACAGCAACCCTATAAGAAAGATTCTACTGCTATTCTTGTTTACAAATAAGTGAAGCAAAAAGTCAGCGAGGGTGAAAACTTAACAGAGATGGTAAATGGTGATGCTGAGGTTCCAGCCTACAGCTGTCTAACTCCAGGTTCCTGTTTCTAATTAGTCTGCTGCCTTCTGATGTACTTAGTTACTAACAGTTACACTTCAGACTCAGAAAAGTATGAATTCAAAATCTATGTGTTACATTTCATGGTGCCACCCAGGACCCACACAAGTAAATCTCATGGAATGGTCAGTCAAACACCATTTGAGTATTTCATCGAGATACGTTTTCAAGATGAGGGGAGACAATACTATTCAAACTAATATTTAAATGTACTCATTTCAATTCTGATGACTCAGCAAACTATGGGACCATTGGTGTCTGTATTTTCTGGAAGTGAGGAATACACGTCTTTAATCCCAGAGTCTGGGAGGCAGAGGCAGATGGATCTCTGTAAGTTCAAGGCACACATGGTCTATGTAGTGACCGCCAAGACATACCTACATAGTAGAGAGACCCTGCTTCAAAACAAATAAACAAAACAGAATATCCATTGGAAAGAAGGCTCAGTGTTGAAGAGCACTGGCTGCCCTTCCAGAGGACCCAGGTTCATTTTCTAGCACCCACTTTGTGGCTCAGAACCAACTCCAGTTCCAGGGAATCCTAGGCCATCTTCTGGCCTCCTTGGGTTCCACACATACAGACACACACACACACACACACACACACACACACACACAGTACAGCAATCTGAATGAAGACAGAACATCTATATGCATAAAAAAATGAATGAAAACTGACAAGCTCGCCCCTGCCCTCTACCCACTCCCCAGGATGTAGATTATGGAGAATGGAGATAAAGAGGGCACACCTTCACTGGTCAGTCTAGCCTGGGACTCCTCATCTCTGCCCTGTTTCCCCTGTCCCTAAGCAACCCCTCATCCTTCCCCACCTCTATGCTGCCTTCCTTAGACAGGGGAAGCAAATGCTTCCGTGATTTTCTCAGCACTCCAGACACGATCTGGTAGACAATTCTCATCCTTTTTCAGAACTAGAATGATTTGGGTGTTAATCAGCACACCAAAGCACACATAAAAATGACCCACACTGTAGAACCCAGAATATACATTAACCTCAAGAGAACTCTCTGAGCTTCCTTGTGAAATGAATTTTGTTGCTTCAAGATATATTCTTACATGGTGTTTTCACATTACAAAGAAGGACTTGCTTATGGTGACTTCTAATTAATTCCTCATGAGTGAAAAAGGTAAAGCTAATTATAGAACTGTCACTCGTTGGAATTTTAAATATTTTACTAGCAAAAGCAAGACCATTTACTATATTAAATGTGTTGTGTAGTCATATAGCATCAATTGCCAATTGAATGATAGGCCTTGGTTGCTTTCTTCCTTTATGTTCAGCTGCTGATGCAGTTTTAATTGCAAATGGTAAGAGGACGCTTGGAGTCAGAAGTGTGGCGTACTGCTGCGGCCACTGAGCAACCTGCTCCAGCTGAACATTGAGCAGATGTCATGTCAGTGCTTGCCTCATGAGGGGATATTTAAAAGCCAAGAGGAAAAGGGGGATGTCCTTCATGACATACCTCCAGAGAGGAAACAATCACGCATAAGCTCAGAAACTCGAGGGAATGGTTGTCAATGTGTTGAAATGAATTGTAAACCTCAGAGAAAACCAGAGTGGGCTGTTTAGCAAGCTCCAAAGGCTCCAAAGGTTGGATTCCAGCAGGCGAGGCATTTCAGCCTCCATAATAATCAGAGGGTGGGAAAAGACTAAATTAAAGATAACCTATTGCTCCCAGTACCATTTATTGATAAGGCGTCTCAGCAAGTGATAAACACATTAATTGTCCACCTCTGTGAAGAGATATATTATCAATAGTTGTTTATCCATGGTCAGTTTCTAAACTAGCATGAGTTAAAATCATAGAGGCAGTGGATTTGATACTAAGTTTAACATTAGTTTGGGAAAAAAAGCATAATTTATAAAGTAAACATTCTAGACTGGGAAGCCAAATATAAATTCCTTTTGGATGACATGAAGTTATGGATTACTAAAGTATCTATATGGATAATCCCTCCTTTAGAGTGGGTAATCCATAACTGGATGCAATTATTTACATGTTAAAAGATGGTAATTATTACATGACATTAGTTTCACTAACTCCACAAAAGATGTTTTTTCTTTGCCAACAATTCCTTATTAAGACTGCTGCTATGCATAAAGTCTTGGGGATTTTTGGGTAGGTAAGGGAGTTCTAATTTTTAAAAGCACAGATATAAACATGATTTTTCATGTTTGTGGAAATAGTTCCTCGTAATTCTGGCATTAAAGGATGCTAGTGTAGTGATTTGCTGTGTTCCATGGTCCCAAAGATGATGTCTCTTGCTTGGTTTCTCTCTCAAACAGCAACCATCTACTTTTGCTTATGCAAGACAAATCATTAAGAAAGAAGGCTTGGGGTTCCAGGGCCTCAACAAAGGACTTACAGCAACTCTGGGACGTCATGGAATTTTCAACATGGTTTATTTTGGCTTCTACCACAACGTCAAAAGCATTATTCCAGCCAGTAAGGTAACTATATAATCATTTAAGATTTGTTGGGTGGAAAGTCTACCAATGTTCTTAGCTTCATCTATAGAGCATTTGTCGTGGCCCACCAAATTCACATCCATTATCTATTTTACCCCATCAGACTATGTATTGAGTGCTGGTATTTCCCTCTCAAATCCAGAACCTGAGGCTTACGGAGATCAATAGGAAAGCTGAGCCTGAACCCAAGTCATGGTGGAAGGACAAACTCCACGAAGAAGGTCTCATTTAGATATGAATGCTTTCTATTCATCCCTAGCAGAAATCTCTACAAACTATGCTATCATTCATTTCTACATCACTCACATAACTTTCTCAAAAACATGGAGTTTTTTGTTTTGTTTTCATACTTTAAATCAGTTCAGCTCACAAGGGAAATGTCAGGCTATATTTTTATGTGTTGATACTCACTTATAAAATCACTTAGCTTGATTTAGGTGAGGGATAAACCAGCTTCTCTGTAGTTATTTGCTCTTGTTACAATATAACAATGATGATTATTACATTATCTTTTGATGATAACTTACAGACGCCAACAGTCTTCCAACTCCTACAGTATGAAACTAGCCTATGGTATACTTGCAAGTCACACACCACAGTGTTTTCCCTCCATGAAGCCTGACATTCGTGACGACAATTCCATGTTTTAGACTCCTAAAAAAAGCAACTCATATAACATTAGAGAAGCATTTATTTCCCCAAAGACTTGTGATAACTGTAAATTGCATACAATTAACTGTATAAATTTTATACAAATTAAGAACAGATATATCTTATTAAATGTATGACTATTTTAATGTATTTATTAAAGTAAAATGAATTCATTTATATTTAAGAAAAATTCAGAAAGATCAGTAAGGTATACATATAGTCACATGTTACTAGATATTTTAAATGGAAGGGTAAGAGTTGGTGATAGAGGAACCAGCAAGTGTTGGAGAAGATTAGAAAAGATAATGTTGACTATAATCACAGTGCATTCCATACATGTGTGGTAATTTGAGAGAAAATGCCCCCTCAAAGGGAGTGACATTATTAGGAGGTGTGGCCTTGTTAAAGGAGATGTGGCCTCGTTGGAAGAAGTGAGTCACATAGCAGGTGGGAGCTTTGAGGTCTCCTATGCTCAAGCTATGCCTAGCCCAGTTCACTTCCTGTTCATGTGGATCAAGATGTAGGACTCTCAGCTCCTTCTCAAGTATCATGTCTACCTGTCCACCACCATGGCCTACCATGATGATAATGGACTAAACCTCTGAACTGTAAGTCACCCCATTTAACATTTTCCTTAATAAGAATTGCCTTGTTCATAGTGTCTCTTTACAGCAATAGCAACCCTAAGACAATATCAAGTGGTTATTCAAAAATAATTAAAGAATCCACAAGTAATGGCTCATGCCTATAATCTCATCACTCTGGAAGCTGAGTGAGGCAGGAGCATCACCAGTAATTTGAAGACAGCCTGAGATATATAACAAGACACTGTCTTTAAGGCACAATAGATAAATATCTACAAGTTCAAACTTTACTCTAAGTTAAGCACTCTACAGTTATTATAGTTATGTTCTGCTCAATTAGACCAGAAACCTAGCAGTTACTTTATTTTCTTTAAAAAAATCACACAATCCTAAAACAACAGAAGGAGCCATTTTTCTTGCCTGTCTTCAAGCCCACTTTGTTACTAATGTGAATACAACATTTTATTTCAATAAGCACTTTAATGAAGACGCACATCTCTTGGCTTAAAGAGATGGCTCAACCATTAAAGTCTAGACTCCCAACCCAAATGTCGAATGCTTCTCTCTATATATCCAGTTCTCTGTAAAGTGTACCCTATTCTCAAAAGGACTCTCAAGAAACCAGGTAAAAAAGGCCACTGAACAGGCATATTGAAAATGTTTTATTGGATTTAGGCAGGCAATGTGTTGACAGTCATTAGTTAATAATGCTCTTAATCATATATGAAAAATGCTTTATAAACTCTCAGATTCTGTTTTTCTAAATTTGGGCTGCTAGTCTAAAGAAAACCCCATCACAGTTTTTAGCTTGTAATAAATCACTATTGTATAAAAACAATGGGTTTTTCTAACATTTATCCCTCCAGCCTGCCAAGGTCTGCACTGCTGTCATCTCCCACACCCATATATAATGCACATATAAAAATGGAAGCTAATAAAGACAGGGGTTTTTCCTGGAGTTTTTTTCACTGCTGTATCCTCGGAGATTAAAACAGTGCCTGGAGCAGAGCAGGTCCTCAGAAAAATCTCTATTAAATTGACCACATTAACGAAGGAAGAAATGACTAGAAAATACCTCGGCATTTGGGAGAGCCACTATATTAGCTGATGTTAGTGTAAAGGAAGCTGGGAGAAAGTTTATGGTCAAAGGGCTTAGAGCTAGAGAGGGTCTTACCTTAACCAAACAGAACCCCAAGAAAAAGAAAATACCACAATGGGATCTTTGTGTCCAGAAAGTGAGATGTTTGGTTTTGGAAATGCTTCTTAAAATGGAGATTTTCACATTGCTGAGATAAGTTTCCCCAGGCTGCCTCAGTAGACAGCCAGAGCAGGCATCATGGCAATAACCAAAATCTTAATGACATCAGAAGTGTAGACAGGCTACTGCTGTGCAGGCAAGGCTCCAGAGAATAGAACGGAAAGGCAAGGCATGAACTGTTCTCACCATGTCTCCATAGACTCGGTATCTGTCCATTCTTTTGGAAATCTGGTTAGTGAAATGTGAATGGGTATTTAACAAGTAAGTTTCTGTTAGATAGCATTTCCTGCACTGAGATTAGACTAATAAACAGAGGCTTAATTTATTAACCAGAACCCTAAGGGATATTTAGTTCTCTCCCAACTCTTTAACCAAAAGATATGGGCTGGAGAGATGACTCAGAGGTTAAGTGCACTTGTTGCTGTTGCAAAAGGTCTGGGTTCGATTCCCAGCACCCACATGGCAGCTCACAACCATCTGTAACTCCAGTTCCAGGGATCAGACACCTTCTTCTGGCATCTGTGAGCAAGCATGTGGTGCTCATAAATTCAGACAAAATACTCATGAAGGTAAAATAAAAATAACTCTTAAGTTATATTGTTTTCATTGTGTTTTTAGCTTTTTTTCTCGAGGGATAGTCTTGCTCTCTAACCCCACTCTGACCTTGAACCTACAACCTAGGCCAGGCTAGCTTTAAACTCATAATCTTCCTGCCTCAACTGCTTGAATGGTATTGGAATTGACTTTTTAAATTGTGTTATAACACTTATCAAGCTGAAAACTCGAGGCAAGACACTTCACTCTCTCACACACCACCCAAGGTAGCATATAAGGAAATTGCCGAAACACTGTTTATAATTATTTTTAAAGTAAGCATTATAGGTATGGTGGCTCACACCTATAATTCCAGCACATGGGAGACTGAAGCAGAGGAATTGCAGCAAGACCAAGGAAGCCTACATTGTGAGTTCAAGTCTAGCAGAACTACAAAATGAGGTCATATATATAAATATAGTTCAGAAGCTGGAGCGATAGCTCAGTGGTTAAGAACACTTCCAGAGGACCCAGGTTCAATTCCCAGCAACCACATGGCAGCTCACAGCTGTTTCTAACTCCTGTTCCAGGGGATCTAACTCTCTCATACAGACATACTTACAGGCAAAACACCACTGCATATAAAATTAAATACATTTTTAAAAAGTAAAAGTTCAATAAATCCTACTGTAATCCTTTCTCTACAGCTTTACAGTAGTGAAGAAAGCCAAGGAATTGCTTCCTAACTATTTGATTATCAACAATTTCAAATCTTGACCCACTTTGGGCAGTGCTGAAATCTGCCACATAGGCTCAAAATTTTGTTTCCATACTTCAGTTCCCAAGCTAAAATAACTTGTTCTTTTTTGTTTAATGATCTTAGCACTTGGGCCCCCTATATGGGAGTGTAGGAGGAATTCTGGGCATAAAGTGTGGGGTCATAAGGTCTGAATGTCACTCTAACATGAATTTTTTGAGTGCTTGACAGGTGGCAGGCCCAGAGGTGGGTACTAGAGGATACAATAGTGAGAGCTACCATAGAGCTTTCAACGTAAGAGACAATAAGCAAGGAAACACAGTTACGAATGACCCAAGGCCGGAGTCAGGAAAGACCTCTTCCCTAAGGAAGTGGCTTTGGAGCTGACTAGAAAGTCAGCCCTTAGCCAGTGACAGTGCAGGGACACAAGCTTTCCAGACACATGGCACATACAGTGTCAGGCTCTAAATCTGGAAGGGGTTGGTAGTTCTGCCTAAATGGAAGACGTCTCCATGTAATGAAAGCAAGAGTGTCAGGCCAGAAATAAGGCTATATAAGGCCATACTGAGGATTTGTGTCTTCACCTAAAAAGCCCTAATGTCTTAATCCATTATCTGTTATTATAGCAAAGTGTTTGAGACTGGGTAATATATAAAGAAGAGGTTGAATTGGGAAGCCAAAAATTAGGTGCCCCCATCTCCTGTGGTTCTTCTGTCTCACAATAAAATGGTGGGAGAAAAACAGGGAGTGTAAGTGTGTACTTTGGGAAAGGAGTTTGAGCACATCACAACAGCCCCTTCTGAGATTTACACTCGAGAACAGCATTGTCTCCTTGCTAAGGTCGAGGCTCCATGGCACAATCACCTCTGAGACCACCCTCCGCCTCTCAGGGCTGTTACACTGGCAATCAGATTTCAAAATAAATTTTTAAGGAAATAGCATTTTCTGGACACAGCAGGCAGACACATCACATGCATAACAAGACCGCACAAGCTCAAGCCACACAAAATGGCCCCAAGACGCAGTGGAAGTGACCGTGCAGACCAGACACCTATTTATAAATGATAGCTCCTGGGAGTGGGAAAATCAGTTCTCTTCAATGGGGTACCACTGGATACATCAACCACACTGCAGGACAGGCCCCAGCTTAGGAGGTGTCAGCCTACACAGATGGATTCCATGTTTGTAGTAGGAAGAG